GAAAAAACTAAATAAGTTCCTAGAAACACACAACCTTCCATGATTGAATTACAAAGAAATAGAAAATCTGAGCACACCAACGACTAGTAGGGAGATTGATCCAGTAATCAAAAACTTCCCAACAAACAAAAGGCCTGACAAGATGGCTTCACTGGTAAATTCTAGCAAACATTTAAAGAATTAATGCCAAACCTTCATAAACTTATCCTAATAATAGAAGAGAAGAGAACACTTCCAAATTCATTTTGTGAGGCCACCATTACTCTGATACCAAAATCAGGCAAGAATATCATAAGAAAATTACAGGCCAATATCCTTTTCTTGAAAGATTTTATTTATTTATTCATGAGGGACACAGAGAGAGGCAGAGACATAGGCAGAGGGAGAAGCAGGCTCCATGCAGGGGCCCAATGAGAGACTCGATCCCAGAACTCCAAGATCACATCCTGAGCCAAAGGCAGATGCTCAACTGCTGAGCTACCCAGATGAGCCAAAGGCAGATGCTCAACTGCTGAGCTACCCAGACGCCCCACAGGCCAATATCCTTACTGAACAGAATTGTAAAAATCCTTAATAAATTATTAGCAAACAAAATCCAGCATCACATTAAAACTATCATACACCATGTTCAAGACGGATTTATTCTAGAGATGGAGGATGGTTGAACATCTGCAAATCAATGTGACACAATAAAAGGATAAAAATCATATGATCATCTCAATAGGTGCAAAAAATCATTTGACAAAATTCAACACCCATTTATGATATAAACTCTCAACAAAATGAGTATAGAAGGAACATACATCAACACAATAAAGAACATCTATGACAAGCCTCAATAGACATCATCCTCAATAGACAAAAGCTGAACTCTTCCTCTAAGACCAGAAACAAGACAAAGATGCCCACTCTTAACACTCTTATTCAACATAATATGGGAAATCCTAGCCAGAGCAAATGGGCAAGAAAAAGAAACTAAAGGCACCCATGTCAGAAAAGAAGTAAAACTGTCACTATTTGTACATGATATATCATACACAGAAGACCCTGAAGACACCACCAAAAAACTAGTAAAACTAATACATGTATTCGGTAAAGTTGCAGGGTACAAAATCAGTATACAAAATTCACTGTGGGGTGCCTGGGTGGCTCAGTCAGTTGGGCGTCCAACTCTTGATTTCAGTGCAGATCATGATCTCAGGGTTGTGAGATGGAGCCTCACATTAGGCTCTGCACTGGGCATGAAGCCTGCTTGGGAATCTCTCTACTTCTCCCTCTACCTCTACCTCTCCCTGCTGTCTCTCTCTCTCTCTCTCTCTCTCTCTCTCTCGCTCTCTCTCTCCCTCATTCTCTCTCTCTTTCTTTCTCTCTCTCAATAAACACACCAAAAAAAATTGTGTTTCTAAACATGAATATTGAACTATTAGAGAAATTAAGAAAACAACCCCACTTAAAACTACATCTAAAAGAATAAAATAGGGACACTTGGGTGGCTCAGTGGTTGAGCATCTGGTTTTGGCTCAGGTTGTGATCCTGGGCCCTGGGATTGAGTCCCACATCAGGCTCCTTGCAGGGTGTCTGCTTCTCCCTCTACCTATGTCTCTGCCTCTTTCTGTGTCTCTTATGAATAAATAAATAAAATAAAATATTTATAAAAGAATAAAATAGCTAGGAATAAATTTAACCAAGAAGATGACCTATACTTTCATGACCTATACTTAAACTATAAGACACTGATGCTAGAAATTGAAGATGACACAAATAATGGAAAGATAGTTCATGCTCATGCATCAGAAGAATTTGTATTGTTAAAAGGTCCATAGTACCCAAAGCAATCTATAGATTCAATGCAATCCCTATGAAAATTCCAATAGAATTTTTTTTAAGGGGATCCCTGGATGGCTCAGTGGTTTAGCACTTGCCTTCGGCCCAGGGCGTGGATCCTGGAGTCCTGGGATCAAGTCCCACATCGGGCTCTCTGCATGGAGCCTGCTTCTCTCTCTGCCTGTGTTCCTGCTTCTCTCTCTTTCTCTGTCTCTCATGAATAAATAAATAAAATATTTTTAAAAAAAGAATTTTTTTTAAAGAGAGCTGGGCAGAATCTTAAATAGGATCCATGCTCTGTGCAGAACCCAACAGAGGGCTCAATCTCATGACCCTGAGATCATGACCTGAGCCAAAGTATAGAGTTGGAAGCTTAGGGGCGGCCCCAATGGCTTAGCGGTTTGGTGCCGCCTTCAGCCCAGGGTGTGATCCGGGAAGCCGGGGATCGAGTCCCACGTCAGGCTCCCTGCATGGAGCCTGCTTCTCCCTCTGCCTGTGTGTGTGTGAAGAATAAATAAAATCTTTAAAAAAAAAAAAAAAGAGTTGGAAGCTTAACTGACTGAGCCACCCAAGTGCCCGCCTCTCCAATAGAATTTTTCATAAAAATAGACCAACCCTAAAATTTGAAAGAACCACATAAGATCCCAAACAGCCAATTCGCCCTTAAGAAAGAACAAAGCTGTAGGCCTTGTGTTTTCTTTTCTCAAATTATATTACAAAACTATAGTAATCAAAACAGTATAGTAAGGGCCTAAAACCAGATAATACAGAACAGAATAGGAGAGAGAGCCCAGAAATAAAGCTAGACATATATGGTCAATATGTTTAAGAAAAAGGAGGCAAGAATATACAATGAGGTAAGGACAGTGGTGTTGGGAAAATTCAATAGCTATAGGCAAAAGAATGAAACTGGACCACTGTCTTAAATTTTACACAAAAATTAACTCAAAGTATTCTTTCCCTTTGCCCATCCCCCCACTTGCACACTCTCTCTGTCTCCCTCTCAAAATAAATGATAAAATAAATCTTTTTTTAAAAATGTGACAACACGGGATCCCTGGGTGGCGCAGCAGTTTGGCGCCTGCCTTTGGCCCAGGGCGCGATCCTGGAGACCCGGGAGCGAATCCCATATCGGGCTCCCGGTGCATGGAGCCTGCTTCTCCCTCTGCCTGTGTCTCTGCCTCTCTCTCTCTCTCTCTCTGTGACTATCATAAATAAAAAAAAATAAAAAATAAAAAATCTGACAACATAAAACTCCTAGAAGAAAACGTAGGCAGTAAGCACCCTGACATCAGTCTTGGTAGTGACTTTTTGGATTTGACACCAAAAGCAAAGGCAACAAAAGCAAAAATAAACAAATGGGACTTCATTAAACTAAAAATCTTCTGTACAGCAAAGGAAACCATCAACAAAAGGAAAAGGCAATCTACCGGATGGGAGAAAATATTTGAAAATCATATATCTGATAAAGAGTTAATTTCCAAAATATATAAAGGACTCAAACAACTCAACAACTCTGACAAAAAATAAATGGGTGGACTATCTGAATAAATATTTTTCCAAAGAAGGTGTACAAAAAGTCAAGAGGTTCTTTAAAAGATGCTCAATATTGGGGATCCCTGGGTGGCTCAATGGTTTGGCCCCTGCCTTCAGCCCAGGGTGTGATCCTGGAGTCCCAGGATCGAGTCCCGCATCGGGCTCCCTACATGGAGCCTGCTTCTCCCTCTGCCTGTCTCTGCCTCTATGTCTCTCATGAATGAATAAATAAAATCTTTAAAAAAAAGTGCTCAATATCACTAATCATCAAGAGACGCAAATCAAAAACACAATGAAATATCACCTCACACCTGTTAGAATGGCTATTATCAAAAAGATAAGAAACAACAAATGTTGGTGAGGATGTGGAAAAAACAAGACCCCTGTGCACTTCAGGTGGGAATGCTAGTTGATGCAACCACTATGGAAAACGGTATGGAGATTCCTCAAAAAATGACAAATAGATCTATCAGATGATCCAGCAGTTCCACCTCTGGGCGTTTTTCTAAAAGAAACAAAAACATTAACTCAAAAACATATATGCACTCCCAGGTTCATTACACCATTATTCACAATAGCAAGACATGAAAGCAATGTTTAGTGTACCTTGATGAATGATGAATGAATGGCTAAAGAAAATGTGATATATATAATGGATTATTATTTGTCCATAAGAAAGAAAATAGTGCCATTTGCAACAACATGGATGGGCTTTGAGGGCATTATGCTAAGTAAATTAAGTCAGACAGAGAAAAGCAAATACCGTATGATCTCATATATACAACTTCTAAAAATAAGATGAACTCATACATACAGACAACAAATTGATAGTTTCCAAGGTACAGAGGAGGAGCAAAGGGGTAAAATGGGTAAAGATCATCAAATGGTACAATCATCCAGTTATAAAATCATCAAGTCTCAGGGGTGCAAGTTACTGCATGGTAACTATAGTTAATAATGCTGTACTGTATATTTGAAAGTTGCTAGAGAGTAAGTCTTAAAAGAGTGGTGATGGATGTTAACTAGACTTACTATCATAATCACTTCACAATTTATACAAATATTGAATCATTATGTTGTACACTTGAAACAAATATGTTATATGTCAATTACATCTTAATAAAAAGGAAGTTAAAGTTATGCCAAGAGCTGCCTCCAACAAACTCATTCAATATGCATGCATGTACTGAGCTCTTATGTTGATCCAGTGCCCATGCTAAACATGGAGACACCAGTACAAAAAAAAAAAAAAAAAAAAGACAGTTCTCTGAGACTCAATGATTATAGCAATTTCTGCGCTTCTGACTCTCCCATGTTAAGTGCGTTAGGCATAATTAGCTGACAAACAGAAAAATAAATATATTACTCTTGCCATGCTCACGTATTACGAAGGAGGGATGCAAAGAGCTTGCACTTTCTTTCATATCTTATATGTCCTATATTTCTCCCAAGATCAAGAGCAGGGAATGTGTTGCACAGAAGTGTTCAGGGAAGGCTGTTCTCAGAATCAGTGAAAACATAGCTGCTGTGAGCTCTGGCTGCACTTCACTGCTCATGGCCTAAGGCCATGAAGAGGCCAATAAAGGCTGGAGCTCAAGAACGCCAACCCAGATCCAAGGTTATCTCTCTGGCACCCAGCCATGAAGCTCCTTTTTCCTATCTTTGCCAGCCTCATGCTACAGTACCAGGTGAACACAGGTAATGTGGAATCCTGGGTTTAGAAAGGGTCGGTAAGAGAAAGCAAGGATTTGGCTGTCCATGACAATGGGAACCCAAGCAATGCTGAAAAAGGAGATGCCCAAACGGACAGCTGAAGAGTTTATTACCTCAGTCATGCATCATCCCCCATGCATCCCCATAGGCCCCAACCCTAGACCGTGTCTGATAGGGATACACAGGGAGCTATAGAGAAAGCAGGAAGTTATCTGTATACTCAGAAACTATCCAACATATAAGGGCTGCCTTCCTGCTCTCTACATGGCTATCATCTGGGACTCAGCCAAGTCTACCTCATTTTTGCTCTATTTCTAATTTAAAACATCTTTTGAAGCAAATGTTCATATTAGGAATATGGAATAAGGAATAAGTCCTTACCCTTATGTCAAAAAATCTCCTCTAAGGATCCAGTACATAGGTCTATGTTCTCCACCCCAACTTTTTCAGATTTTTACAGAATTTCATCCCTTTTCTTAGGCTTTGTCTTCTTGGAAACCCCCAAATCACGCATCCGGGCATCTAGGAATACATTTTAGCAAACAGCTGAACCAGAGGATTGGCCATTGTTTTTTGGAAAGAATAAAGAAGCACGAAGACTTGTTTCAGAATAAAAGAATCACCTTGATATTTAGAATTATTGGCAGAGAAGGGAAAGTGAAAGAGTCGAGATATTTCTAATATTTTTAACTGGGACCTTAAGAGGAGAGTGGTAACATAAGCAAGTATGGCTGTGGTCTTGGGCAAAGTCACTTAGCTACTTTGAGCCTCAAATTCCTCATGAGTATAGCAGGTCAATCAATGTAGCTGCTTGAAATATAAGAATTTTACTATTTTGTCTCTAGAGAGAAATGGTGTTGAAATGTATGTGAATATTAGGTGCTACATAAGCTTCTTGTTATTTATGGAAAATCAGTTGAATTGTTAAGATTACAGAGTGAGAGAGAACTTTCTTGATTCAGAAAAAAAGGGTGAGACATTGGGATTTTAAAAATCAGCAGATGAAGATGGAGTACCAAACTAAGCAGAGGATTTAGAGCTATAGATAACCATGCGGGAGATACTTTGATAGAGATGAGATTAAGGCTGTGATGATGAGTAACGCCTCTGAGGGACAGAATGTCCAGAGAGACTGCAAAAGATAGAACACCATGCCCCAGGAACCACAGGTCAAGTGATTGTCAAGGAGGGTGAGGTCCATGGACCACTGGGTTTGGCAAGAAGTCAGCATTCCTAAAAGTCTAACTGATCTCTTTTGAAAGTCTTTCTTGGATTAGTTTTATGACAGATTTTGCTCTTGTTGGTATTTCCTAGGTTTATGAGGAAAGATAGTGATTCTCTGTAAGAGTCTACAATGTCTAAGTGTTTACAATGTCTAACTGTCTAAGCTGTAGGTCTAAAATCCTATCCTGGGGGTGCCTAGGTGGCTCAGTTGGTTAAGCATCTGCCTTCAGCTCAGGTCATGATCCCAGGGTCCTGGGATTGAGTCCTGCATCAGGCTCCCTGCTCGCCTAGGAGCCTGCTTCTCCAGAACCCTTCCTCTGCCTCTCACCATTGCCCCTCTCCTTCCCCCCACAGCCACTCTCTCTCAAGAAATAAATTAAAATCTTTTTAAATATAAAATCCTATCCTGAAGAAAAAAAATGTATTCCCTTTTCTTCTTTCCTCTATGTGCCCTTGATTTTAAAAGTTACTCAATGAGGGGGACTAGAGAGATTTATTTTGAATTTCAGGCGTGTATAAAAACTTCCTTGGCCTGTCAGCTGCTTCCATCAACATCCCTAGACATTGCACTTAAAACTTAGCATTAATAAACATCCTCTTATTCTATTCCTCACCCTCCAGCACTCTCAACATCATATCTAGCTATTAACCTTAGCCAAATGGTTTTCTCTTTTCTTTGTGCAGAGTATTTTGGCTTGAGAAGATGTTTAATGGGTTTTGGAAGATGCAGAGACCACTGTGCTATGGATGAAAAAGAGATACAGAAATGCAAAAAGAAAAAATGTTGCATTGGACCAAAAGTGGTTCAAATGATAAAAAACTACATGCAAAATGAAATGTCCCACACACTTGAGGGCTCCCAAGAACAACTACCAATTAACAAGAATTTTGATGTTGAGATGCAAACAAAAAATCGTATTTTATCTCTTCTCCCCAAAAGCAAAAGCATCAGCCCGTTTGCCAATGTTAGCACTCTTATTATCTCAAATACCACCAATATAAACTCTGTCATCGCCAACCCTGTATTCTCAGGAAAGACTTCACATACTGCAATTTCTACCAAGAGTGACACCAAAGAAAGGAGAGATTCAGATACTGACTCCCCACCACCAGCACCACCACCATAGGCACTGCCAACACCATGGCTGGAGCCGGAGGAAGCAGATGAGCAGGGATGTGAGTCTTTCCCTTAAAACACCAAACACACTTCCTCTCTATCTTTGCTAGCTGTAAAATGAAACATAGGACTGTTTCCTCTGTTGTCAGTCATTCAATAAATACTGATTAAGCACCTATAGTTTACTTAATGTTATCATTCTCACAGAAACCTCACAGAGGAGATAGAACTGGAGAGGAATGGAATTTTAGTTTTCATGCCCAAGAGAGAAAGCAAGCACCAGGAATGAAGACTGTATCATAGAATTTGGCTCATGGATGGCCCAGATTAGGCCTCTGTAACAAGGATTTATGGTTCTCATATCATGTGCCTTTCTTGAGGTAACAGGACGAAAAACATCAAGAGACATTTTTTTTTCATAGATTTTGTGGAAAAGGCCCATATGCAAAAACAGAATGTGCAAGGGCAAATCTACCTTCCCTACAGAAGAGCATAACTCAGTTCATGGAGCCATTTAAGATAAAAATATGGGAGAATAGAGGAAGGGAGGAGGGGTAAGGAAGAGGTATAGGACTTCTGTCTCTGAGCCAAAGCATTTCAACAAGATTCCTGGGGATCCCTGGGTGGCTCAGCAGTTTAGTGCCTGCCTTCAGCCCAGGGTGTGATCCTGGAAAACCAGGATCAAGTTCCTGCATGGACCCTGCTTCTCCCTCTGCCTGTGTTTCTGCCTCTCTCTCTCTCTCTCTCTCTCTCTCTCTCTGTGTGTGTGTGTGTGTGTGTGTGTGTGTCATGAATAAATAAATAAAATCTTAAAAAAAAAAAACAAGATTCCTGACAGGACAATAGGCAATAGGCAGAGCGATGCTTCCAATAGATACAGAATGCAGACTACAAATGCAAACCATATGAGTAATTTTGAATTTTCTAATAGCTACATTTAAAAAAGCAAAGCTAGATGAAATGAATATTAAAAATGCAAATTATTTAATGCAATAAATCTAAAACATCATTTCAACATATAATCAATATAAACATTGAGATGTTTTGCATTGTGTTTTTGTACTAAGTCTTTGAAATCTCATATGTACATTACCATTACAGCACATTTCTCTCATAACTTCAACTCCTGCTAAACATGTGTCTCCTGAAGAACCCCAAGCATCTTACGAGTGAGTCCCTCCTTGCTACAGCTATTTGCCAAACTTTTGAATTACTTGTCAAACAATTTGCATTTTTGCACACACACACCTGGGTTTGAGTTTACTAATAAATCAAAAATTACTGTGGAGGGGAGGGGGGCCCTTTTGTGCTCAGTTCCTATGTACACACTTTGAAGCCATGAGTCTGACTTCCGATTCCAGCCTAGTAGTTGAGTGGATCACAGCAGTTACCATTGCTGCTGGGACAGTTGCAACTGGTTATCCAGCTTACAAAAGATTTTGTGTCAAAGATCATTGCAGCAAATCTATCCAGAAAGATAGTCCCAAGATAATACATGATTTTGACACAGAGGGTTTGAGAGATAAAGCTGTACACTGCTGTTACTAAAGCTCCGAAAAGTTTCTGTGATGGGGCTCACACAAAACGTAACAGAGGCTGGAGACAACATGAGACCTCTAATAATGAAGAAAAAAGAAACTTGAACAGTTTTGATGCTGCAAACTGACTTGTCATGATGTTACCTGAATGTTTAATTAACCTGACCACCACTATCTAATTCAACTTCCCTAGATTCTTTGCAAACTGCAACTTTCACATTCACAGCATTTGCCCTACTTAAAACATTGTGGTGCATATTTGCTTTAAAAAAAATAAGGAAAAATAAAAACCAACTTCATTGTTTGTGGGATATCTTAGTCTTAAAAGGATCTATTTGGGCAGGCCTGGTCGCCCAGTGGTTTAGCGCCACCTTCAGCCCTGGGCGTGATCCTGGAGGCCCAGGATCAAGTCCCACGTCAGGCTCCCTTGCATGGAGCCTGCTTCGCCCTCTGCCTGTGTCTCTGCCATTCTCTCTCTGTGCCTTTCATGAATAAATAAATAAAAATCTTTAAAAAAAAAAAAGGATCTATTTTTTTAATTTAAAATAATGACATTAGAATATAGTTGTATGCTGAAGTTCACATATTAAATTATTCTCAAAATCGTGTATATACAGATTGTATTTGTGAGATTCAAAGAAAAATGATCACTCTGTCATAATAATTAGTGAACCTAAAATGTAAATTGGGTATGATTCAGCTACATTAATTTCTTAATACAATCTAGGAAAACATCTATTATGACCTTGACTTTCTTCTTTTTTTAAGTTTTTATTTAAATTCCAGTTAATTAACGTACAGTATAATATTAGTTTCAGCTGTACCTTGATTTTCTTCTTAACAGTGGTAAGGACACCGAATGAATATGGCTTCATGCTTTCACAGTTTCAATCAAAATGAACTATAGGGATCCCTGGGTGGCGCAGCGGTTTAGCACCCGCCTTTGGCCCAGGGCGCGATCCTGGAGACCCGGGATCGAGTCCCACGTCGGGCTCCCGGTGCATGGAGCCTGCTTCTCCCTCTGCCTGTGTCTCTGCCTCCCTCTCTCTCTCTCTGTGTGTGACTATCATAAATAAATAAAAATTTTAAAAAAAATGAACTATAAATGTTATTCCACTTAACTGCAAGTAGACCAGGTCAAGGGGGTGGTAACTTTTGTATTCAATTTTTTTCAAGATTTTATTTATTTATTCATGAGAGACACAGAGAGAGAGAGAGGCAGAGACATAGGCAGAAGGAGAAGCAGGCTTCATGCAGGAAGCCCGATGTGGGACTTGATCCCAGAACTCAAGGATCACACTCTGGGCTGAAGGCAGACACTCAACCACTGAGCCTCCCAGGCATCCCTGTATTGATTTTTTTTTTTAAGCACATTCATTTCTTCAGCCATTTAGCAAATATTTTTTAGCATTTACTCCTTCCTAGTCTCTGAGCAAGACACTAAGGATTGGGAGATAAATGACCTCTGATTGCTTTTGTATTGTAAAACATTCCAGTCAACTGAGATAGAGAAATAGAAAGCAAATGACTGTGGAACAATACGATGCCACAGTAAAAGTGCTCACTGCCACTAGCAAGTAGAAGAGCCTTCAAGGGTGTCTGGGTAGAGCAGTCAGGTAAGCTTCTGACTCAGGTCGTGAAATGGATTCCTGCATCAGGCTCTATACTCAGTGCAGGAGTCTACTTGGGATTCTCTCTCCCTCTCCCCTTCCCCACCGCCCTCCCTCTACCCAACAGGATAGCTCTCACTCAAATAAATAAATCTTTAAGAAAAAAAAAAGAGCCCTCAGCCCTGGTTAGGCAGAAGGTGGGTGCAGAGGCTGAGGAAGAGGGGAAAAGGGGTGGGCTCTAGGAGGAGGCAATACCTAATCTGCTCTTAAAGACTGAGTAAAGTTAGGTCTCTTTGTGTGAGGCGGAACTTTTGGAGATAGGCAGAGAGACTGCATGACTAAGGGTGTGGGGAGGAAGAAAAGGAGAGAGAACAGAATGTATGGACTCTCCATTGCCAGAGAAGCCTGGGCATTTGAGTAGGAGAGATATGTATCTGATCTTTGGGATTTGAGTAGGAGAGAACCTTGAAAGCCCATTTAGCAATCCAAGCCCCAAAGTCAGAAGACCTGAGGGACCCTCATCCTCGACCTCCTCGAGGTTATTAGGCAGCACTCAAATCATCCTTTACAAATGAGATGCATTCACTTGCCATCAGGGAAATACAAATCAAAACCACAATGAGATACCACCTCACATCAGTGAGAATGGGGAAAATTAACAAGGCAGGAAACCACAAATGTTGGAGAGGATGTGGAGAAGGGGAACCCTCTTGCACTGTTGGTGGGAATGTGAACTGGTGCAGCCACTCTGGAAAACTGTGTGGAGGTTCCTCGAAGAGTTAAAAATAGATCTGCCCTACGACCCAGCAATTGCACTGCTGGGGATTTACCCCAAAGACACAGATGCAGTGAAAAGCCAGGACACCTGCACCCCAATGTTTATAGCAGCAGTGTCCACAATAGCCAAACTGTGGAAGGAGCCTCGGTGTCCATCAAAAGATGAATGGATAAAGAAGATGTGGTCTATGTATACAATGGAATATTACTCAGCCATTAGAAACGACAAATACCCACCATTTGCTTCGATGTGGATGGAACTGGAGGGTATTATGTTGAGTGAAATAAGTCAATCGGAGAAGGACAAACATTATATGGTCTCATTCATTTGGGGAATATAAAAAATAGTGAAAGGGAATAAAGCGGAAAGGAGAAAAAATGAGTGGGAAATATCAGGTGGGGAGACAGAACATGAGAGACTCTTAACTCTGGGAAACAAACTAGGGGAGGTGGGCAGGGGGTGGGGGTGACTGGGTGACAGGCACTGAGGGGGGCACTTGATGGGATGAGCACTGGGTGTTATTCTATATGTTGGCAAATTGAACACCAATAAAAAATAAATTTATATTAAAAAATGAGATGCATTCACTGTTGAACTCAGAGAAGATGCTAGTGGTGTTTCTGGTCTCAAGGGAGTGAGGGATATAGGGGTCTGATTTCAACTAAGTGATTTCAACCTTTGCTACATTTAACTGCAAGTTTATAGGAAATTCAGAGAATGGAAAAACAACTAAACAATCCCACAGGGAAATAATCGGATGAATCAAGAATCAAGTTTTCTATAAGAGAACTGCCTCAGCTCTTGAAAAGACAATGAGAGGGAGGACTACTCTAGATTTAAAAAGGAATGAAGAGCCATAACAACAAAATGTAATGCATTGTCCTTAATTGGATCTTGGTTTAAAAAGGGAACAAAAAATTGTAAAAGACAATTGGGGGCAGCTCGGGTGGCTCAGCGGTTTAGCACCGCCTTTCAGGCCAGGGTGTGATCCTGGAGACCCGGGATGGAGTCCCATGTCAGGCTCCATGATGGAGCCTGCTTCTCCTTCTGCCTGAGTCTCTGCCTCTCTCTCTCTCTCTCTCTC